AAAAAAAAAAAGAACTCCATGCCAGAAGAAAAGACAGAAAACAATGTTTGTTTTGACCAGTAATAGCTCACCACAGCCGGCTGTAGGCTATCTCAGCTGGTCTTTCCAGCTATGCTTGCCTGACCAGCAGAGCCCTTGAAAAGGAAAAAAGGTCTGCCTTGGGGGCTCTTGAAGTCGAGAGAAAGTATTTGCCCCTTCTGAATAACAGGTGACCTGTTCAGCTTTTTCACATTTGCACACACCAATGTTTAGGGGTGATGGTTTCTATCACCTTCCTGCCATTCACCTCCAACCAGATGGCAAATATACAGCTCTATCACAGAATGTAAATGTAGAAAGGGAATTTTGAGGTCATCTAGCCCAGGGCTTTTCAACATTTTCACCCATTGTACCACTTTTAGGGTATGGGAATATCCGAGTATCACCAGTCGCCTAGCAAGGTGTCAAAAACTTGACCAAAAAAAAAAAAAAGTGATAAAGTACAGGTAGTCCTCGACTTACAACAGTTCGCTTAGTGACTGTTCGAAGTTACAATGGCACTGAAAAAAGTGCCCCCCAAGCCACAGCCGAGCAAGACACCTGCCTGCCCACCCGGCAGCGCTCTTCCTCCTGTCCGAGGAGGGTGTTTGGTTTTTATTCCCCCCGTCTACTGGGTGGTTGCAGCAGGTTTTGGTCACTTCACATGACCCTGGGACACTGTGACCATCATAAATATGAATCAGTTGCCAAGCATCTGAATGTAAATCACAAGACCCTGGAGATGCTGCAACATTCCAGCTGATCGGCGCTTCTTGGCTCAGCAGAAGTGCCAGGATCAGTGCTGCTTTCCAGCTGATTGGTGCTTCTGGGCTCAGCAGAAGCACCAGGATCAGTGCCGAGCTCCAGCTGGAGCCTGGCGCTGATCCTGGCGCTTCCACTGAGCCCTGACAGCCCCGAAGAAGCGCGGATCAGTTGGAAAGAGGCACTGATCCTGGCACTTCCGCTGAGCCCTGACAGCCCTGCAGCTCCAGCTATCTGTTGCTCAGGCTTGTGCAGTGCTGCCACCGGTTCAGCTCATTCCCCTCCCCCCGCTACCACTTTTCTAGGATGGTCACGTACCACCTGCCAGGTGCCAATGTACCACAGGTGGTACCCGTACCACTGGTTGAAAAGCCTGATCTAGCCCAACCCCCTGCCCTGTAGAAGAATCCATTGCTGCAGTGTCCATGAGAGATGGTTGCCCAGCCCTTGTTCAATCATGAGGCTTTGTCATTGAATTTCCTGATGTCCCAGATCTTCTTCCATGTCATTTTAATGCAGGGGAGGGAAACGACGGTCCCCTTTGTGACTGCTGGACTTCAACTCCCAGAATTTCTGAGCCAGCATGGAGGCAGTCTAGGAAAAGAATTCTTGGCTGGCTCAGGATTTCTGGGAGTTGAAGTCCACCAGTCATAAAGGGGCCATCGTTCCCCACTCCTGTTTTAATGCATCATGTCTTGTCTCATCTTTGCAATCCTTGAAAGAAGCCATTCTGTCTTCTTGTGGTCTTCTTTTCTCCAGGCTCAAATTACACAGTGCCTTCAGCGGCTTCTTATACAATGTTGGCTTCTTCCAGGCACCTTCTGGCTTGTTTGATCTCCCCTAGTCACTTCTTTGCCCACCTTCCTGCTGGATTGTTCCTCACTTCCAGAGAGATATTAAGCCCTTATCGACTTTTTAAAATCCAAGTTCTGCAGAACGGAAAGGCTGTCCTTGAAATGCCCACAGACAGCTTGGCAGGGTGGGTGTTGAAGTATATTTCCACTCAGAAGCAGGCATCTGTAGCTATCTGTCATTCCAACTGTTCCTTTTAAACAACTATCCAGTGTAGGAGAAAGATACTTTGTGCATGCTCTGGCCACTTGGCTCAAAAAGTGCAAATTCCAGTGATCATTTAGGACATGCAGGCATACTCTGAAGTCTTTTCCTGGACTCCCTCCCACCCTGAGCAAAGGAAAGGAACAGCCTAAAAGAAGCCAAATTATAGTACAAGATATCCTCAACTTACAGCTATTCATGTAATGATCGAAGTTACAACGGCACTTGTAAAAAAATGACATCATTTTTTCACACTTATGATTGCAGTATCCCCATGGTCACATGATCAAATTTCAGGTGCTTGGCAACTGGCTCATATTTATGAAGGTTGCAGGGTCCCGGAGTTATGTGATCCCCTTTTGTGTCTTTCTGATAAGCAAAGTCAATAAGGAAGTCAGGTACACTTAACAACTGTGTGACTAACTTAACAACGTCAGTGATTCACTTATCAATATTGTGGCAAGAATGGGACAAAGTTTACTTAATTTATTTAACAGATGGATTAAATAATGGAATTTGGGGCTCTCTTGTGGTTATTAGCCCAGGACTCTCCGATACTATAATTTGCTTCTATGTGTTTTTCTTTGTTAAAAACAGATCATGCCAAACCAATCTTATTTCATTCTTTGATAAAGTGACTAAATTAGTAAACCGACGAAATGCTGTGGACGTAGTATACTTAGATTTCAGTAAGACATTTGACAAAGTATTCCACAACCTACTTCTTGGTAAGCTACAAAAATATGGAATAGACAACATCACCACCAGATGGATCTGTAGCTGGCTGGCAAACTGTACTCAATGAGTAGTCCTCAATGGCACTACATCCTCATGGAGAGAAGTAAGCAGAGGGGTACCACTAAGTCTCCGTCTTAGGCCCAGTACTCTTCAATATCCTCATAAATGACTTAGATGAGGGAATAGAAGGGGAACTCATCAAATTTGCAGATGACATAAACTGACAGGAGTAGCCAACACCCCAGAAGACAAGCTCAGGATCCAAAAAGATCTCATAAAATTGAACAATGGGCCCTATCCACCAAAATGAAATTTAATGTGGAGAAGAGGAAAGTTTTACATTTAGGCAGGAAAAACCAAAGGTATAAGTACAGATTAGGCGAGGCCTGGCTCAAAAACAGTAACTGTGAGAGGGATCTAGGAGTCCTAGTGGACGATCACTTGACTATGAGCCAGCAGTGTTCAGCAGCAACCAAGAAAACTAATACAATTCTGGTTTGTATAAACAAGAGGCATAGAATCAAGATCACGTGAAATATTAAAACTCTAGTGAGACCACACCTGGAATACTGCAATCAGTTTTGGTCACCATATTACAAAGACCTACATATATATATGTTTTCTGAGGTTTTCGCGGGTGTTTGTATGTAGGTCTTTGGTCATTCGGGTTCTCTCCCGCGTAAAATTGGAAGTGTCCTGGCGACGTTTCGACGAAGTCGCCAGGACACTTCCAATTTTACGCGGGAGAGAACCCGAATGACCAAAGACCTAC